AGTGATGATGTAACCAAAAACCAGGTTTCTGTGATAAGTCAGTACAATTTCATGGAATAGAGAAGGTATTATTTTCTCAGTGACACACCCGGTGTCACTTGCATATCAGGCAGAAAGACTGAAAGCATTAACGTCACTTTACTTAGGTTATAAAGATGGAAAGAAAGACAGGAAATTATTCCAGTTTGCTAAATCAACTTGAGAAGAGTTATATACAAAAAAAAAAAAAAAAAAAAAAAAAAAAAGGAAGAAAGAAAAAAAGAAAAATGTGTAGACATTTTGTCAGACAATTTGTAAACAACGGGCATAGAATTACTATCGCTCTTCAGAAAGTGCATTTGCTTGTTTGGTGGGGAATTGAACCAGACGTTACAAGTTGGTTACAAATATGGACTCATTGGGGGGAGTGAGAAAGTCCTTGGATGTGAATTGTGTAGTTCCCAAACATAAGCATTTTCATATGGGTTACAAGAAGAGCAACTCAACAACCTTGCAAGTGTCTAAGTATAATAGGCAAAAATTCTGTGGTTAAAAATGTCCTCAGCCATTGTATTTATATCACTCAAAATCCCCAAGGTTATAGGTTGCTGTTTTTAGATATCCTCAATTTCAGTGCTACCAATTTTATCTAATGCTCTGGTTTGTTTGGGGAGGGGGAGAAGTGTGGGGACAGGGTTATTATGTTCCAATTGTTATACTCAGAAAACAAAAAATAAGCATGTCTGGAGTTCACTCTATTCAATATACACTGGAGCAGTGGTACATTTCATGCTTCAAAAGTCTGTATCTGTTAGGGTGACAGGCTCAAGGGGGAAAGCACACCACTGCATTGTGAGAAATGATGGGAACCTGTGTTGTTCTCAAACACATCAATAAAGTGAACTTGGAGTGATCAGCCATGAGGCACAGGGCAGTTGTGAGGGGGGGGGGGGGGGGGGGAAACTGCACCCGAAATTCTCAAAACTGCTTTACTTTCTGAAGACTGACTCTATTCCAGACTCGAAGCAAGCAGGGGCCTTTAAATAACTAAACCTGTAAGACTTAATAATCAGGGGCCTTTAAATAATTAAAACAGGGGCCTTTAAATAACTACATCTAAGTCTTAATAATCAGGACGCAAGCTTCTATTTCATAATGTATCCATTCTCCAAAGCTTACAATGCATTAACTTGTGTTCAAAATTCTTTTATATATGCATACAACAGAGTCCTTCCATAAGAAAAACTGAACAAGTATACAGCATAAGTTAAAAAAATAAAGAGCATAAAGATAGTTCAGAGTTTGGTGAGGATTCAAAAAAGTAAGAATGTGACAAAGGTTTCTTTTTTTTGTTTCTTTTTTTGCTTGTGTGTGTGTGTGTGTGTGTGTGTGTGTGTGTTTTAATACAAACAGTATAGCTGGTAATAAAGTTACATATTTTTGTAAATTGCTGAATAAACCTACTTCTAATAGATTAGAGATCACTGAAACTTGTTCCAATTCAAACATAGAAGACTTTAATTATTGCTGTCATTTTTTTTCTGATGGAGGAAATGTAGCATTCAAAAGTATCGAACTTGCTAAATAAAATGAAAAAAATCTCTGACATTGAGATTGGCCAGTCTCAAGCCTTTCCACCAAAAACAAAACAAAACAAAACAAAAAACAACACCCATAATTAGTACCCAGAATAGAAGAAACTCTGCTCCAAAGTATCTGACTATTTAGCCTGAACCCAGACTCACAAGACAACTTTATAAAGGCTCATATTTTTAAAACCGGGTATGGATTTTGTATACTATTCTAGAATATATTTCTTTCACCATAACATATTCTTCATGGAGTGATAGTGTAGAACTGATGCTCAGTGAAGATGTACCATGATATCAGACCAGGCATACCTTCTGGTCCAGAATAAAATAACTCATAAATGCGTGCCTCCCAGTTATAAAGCAAGTCATTAAAGAGAGTGGCATTAGATTGATGCAACAATTTTTTTTCTCATAAAAATAATGCGCGCTTTAAAACGGAGGCTACTTTTAAAGCACTTATTGAAGAAAGAAAGTGTTGGATTGGCTATTTTAAGCTCAACCCCAGACTAGAAATTGGACAACTCCAAGTGGTAACCAAACCCACACTTGTTATATGACCTTGAACAAGCCAAGCAGGCTGTGGCCATGATTATGTATACAAACCGCCTACGCGCGGTGTCATGCCAAGGTCAGTGTGTTTATGCCAGCCAGTTCTGTTACACATGCATAGCTCCACAGAGTTGTTCCGGGTCTTGCAGGTGGAGTGTATGCCAACACAGACTCTAATGAACAGACTGCCAGAAAGAGGATGATTATCTGTGCTAAGTAGCATTGAGGCAATTATAAAAATCAATCAACTGAGCATCTATGTTACCAAGACTAATAGTCTGGATGAACTGCACAGTTGTGATCATATACCGTGTTTCCCCAAAAATAAGACATCCTCCGAAGATAAGACCTAGAGCATGGAAAGATAAGACATCCTCTGAAAATAAGACCTAGCGCAACTTTGGGAGAAAAAATTAATATACAATAAGACACTCTTATTTTCAGGGAAACAGGGTACTTGAAATATTTGCTGAAACATCCAACATAGATTGTTTTACAAACTGGACATTGCTCTCAGCTAACATCTATTTTTCTCTTAAAATAACATGTGATAATGAAGCCTAGGACCCACTACATTAGTTCACAATAAATTCTCAATAAAGTATATGCCAGATTAGCTTTAAAATTATTGCAAAGGAGTAATCACACACAAGCAAAAATTGGTTCAGAGTAATGTAATTTAACATTCATGTAAGATCAGAATTCTTAAAGGAAGGAAAAAAAGACTTAAGTCCCCGAGTGTATTTATTTGATAAGATAAGTGTATTTATTATATTTACTTCATTTTTAACCTATACTTCAATATATTTTATTTATCTATCTATTTATTTATTTATTTTGATTTTGCCTGAAAACAGATGCAAGACAAAAACTGCTGTGTTCGCCAGTCCAAAGACACTGACCCAGAAATTCTAATCAGGCCCAGTGATAATTCTGCACACATCTATTGGTCCTCTAAAAAGGCATGAGTTCTGAGGTTAAATCTTTATAATGTCAAATAAAAGGAAGGATTAGCTAACTTAGTAAAGGGGGGAAATTCAGGCTTATTAATCTGAAATTGCATTGTTTTTCACTATTCTGTCTGTTGTAGGAACATCATGAAATTATCTTGAGGAAACATAATGACAAACATGACATCCATGGAAACTGATCCTAGCATTTAGTATTAGAATTATAATAGGTTTAAGTGAAATCTAAAGCAGGTAAGAAACTATGTAAATACGTAGAAATCTTAGTAAAATATATAATATTAATTTTTACAAATGTCACATTAAAATTCTCCTTCCTCATTATAATGTTAAAAGAACTAATATCTAGACTTTTTGAATAACTGTCCAAATGTAATATTCCTAGTGAATATAAAATATAATTAGAACCCTGGTTTCCAATATTCATTACACACTGTGTAATTATGTAGATTAAAAGTGATACGTGTGTGTGTGTGTGTGTGTGTGTGTGTGTTACATATTTGTATATAAAATGAATAGGGTGACCATATAATTTTTTTTAAAACATTTTTATTTTCATTTTTTTAAAATATATTTTTATTGATTTTACACAGAGAGGAATTGAGAGGGACAGAGAGTTAGAAACGTCAATGAGAGAGAAATATCAACCAGCTGCCTCTTGCACACACCCCACTGGGGATGTGCCTGCAACCAAGGTACATGCCCTTGACCGGAATCGAACCCAGGACCTTTCAGTCCGCAGGCCGACTCTCTATCCACTGAGCCAAACCGGTCCCGGCAGGTAACCATATAATTTGACATCAAGCTAGGACACTTTTGGCAATGAAGGATGTAATTAATGATTACATCACGATGTTGAGTATAAACTGGAACTGTGCTGGGCTAACAGAGACACTTATTCCCCTGGGGAGGATCTTAACAACTTCATGTACAGACAGTAAAGGAGGAAGTTATCCACTTGCTTCATAATCTTACAATAGGTGTGATTTTACCAACTGTAATACATTCTCTGCCCTATCTCTTTGAGGGCAGAGAGTGTATCCCAGGCATTAAATGTGGAATAGAGGCTCATGTGTGATACAATTGGCTCTAGAGGTCAGAGACGCTGAGCAGTTCTCAGTAATAAAATTAGAATTGAAAATCTAAGAATAGGAAAGAACAACAGAAGTAAGCTTTGTTTAATTTTTAAATCATAGGGACACAGGTCGTGGCACTAATTTTTAACGTAATTTTCCACCATACATTAATTGTATATACAGTTATAACTAAATCTACCACTTTTCAATAGATTTGGATTCATGGCATAGGATAATGTATGTTTTTCACTTTCTAAATGATAAACTAAAACCTTTTTTTTAATTAGGTATATTATGATTTATATCAGGGAAACAAATTCTACAGTGTTTTTACATTTATTTGCATGGCATTTTAACACAGGAATATAAATTTTCTCCTTTTTTCCCTAATTCAATAAACTTTTAGTATATGGAGCCTCAAACATGAGTAGAAATAAGAATTACATGGAGGACTTGTAAAACACAGATTGGCAAACCCTGGCCCAGAGTTTCAGGTTTAGTGGGACTATGGTAGGCTCCAAAAATTGGCATTTCTAACGTGCTCTGAATGGGTTCTGGTTACTATTATGCTAGCAGTCAGGGCACCACACTTTGAGAAACGCCAACATATTGAACATGAATATTTGCCAAGTGCTGTGTGCTAGGGATACAGCAGCAAACAACAAAACTGATACAAATCCCTGTCCTCATAGATCTTATGTTCCAGTGGAAAAGTATGTACAATAAATCCATAATGCAAATATGCAGCATGTTAGTGAAAAGTGCTGTGAAGAAAAACAAAAAAGAAAATGGGATGTATCACTGATGAAGTGGTGAAGGGGATATGATGAAGGAGGCCTTACTCAGAAGGCAAGAACTTAAAGAGCAGAGGAGCGAGTCAGAGACATCTGGAGGAAAAGTCAGCTCACATGCTCTAAGGCTGGAGTGCACTCACCGAGTTTAAAGAACACGAGGAAGACAATCATGGCTGGAGCTGAGTGAGTGACTGGACAGCAGAAGAAAACAAGGCAGAGAGGCAATGGGAAGGTCAGCTCAGGTGAGGTCTTATGAGCCAATAAGAGGTATTTTCCTTTTATTCTGAGGGACACAAGAATCCAGGGGTAAAATTTGAACAGGGACAAGGAATTAGCTAATTTGCATTTTTCAAAGATCCCTGGGGCTTCTAGGTTGAAAATAAGAGCCAGAAATTCAAGAAATGTGTGTAGGCTAAGTATATACATTTGAGTCACCAAACATTGGTGGTATTTAAAGCTCAAACATTAGAAAAAATAATGTTTCTAAACATTAGAAAGCTCAAACATGAATTCACCAAAGGAATGAATAAATCCAGAGAAGAAAAGTACTCCAAGAACTGGCCCTGGAGAAATCTGACTGTCAAGGTCAGGAAGATAAAGTGAGAGGCCAGGAAAGAGGCTGAGAAGAAATAGGGAATTAGGATGAAAACCTGCAGAGGCTGGCTTCCTGAAAGCCCAGTGAAGAAAGTGAGGCAGCAGCTGCTTATCACCTGCTAACAGATCAAGTAGGATGGACAATGAAAATTAAACCTTTGCACGAGCAACATGAAGTTTGATAGTGATGTTGACCAGAGCTGTGGCAATGGAGGGGTAGAGACTTGAAGCTTGACTGGAGTATTTTCATGTGAGGAGGGAGGACAGCCATTAGAGTCTGAGCACAGGCAACTCATTTGAGGAATTGTCCTCTTAGAGAAAGGAGAGACGTGGGTAAGAATTAGAGCAAATGTTAGATCAAGGGGGATGGTTTTTCTCTTCTCAGATGGGAGGAAATATTGAAAATGTGTGAGCTGATGGTAATGATCCCATAGAGGTAAGTAAACTGATGACGCAGAGAAACAGGGGGCAATATTGAGTGATACACTCTAGGAGGGGAAGACTGAGGTCTTCTGCCCAGGTATAAGGGTCAACCTTATATTAACATAAACAGTTCATCCAGAGTAATAGGAAGGAAGTCCGAGTATGTGGAAATACATGGAGGTGAATGGATAGTTATAGTGGTGGTTGTCTCAGTGTAACAATAATGGCCCCAACTGAAAAAGAACTGCTGGAGGTTGGAGGGGAGATGAGAATATTTAAATATCCTTCAGTTGAAAGAGAGAAAGGAGAGAGCAAGAGAAGAGAGAGAAGAGAAAGAAATTAAGGTTGTGGACAGATAAATGTGACAGGATTGCTAGTAGTATTAATACAATCAAGCTGGTACTGTAAAATTATTATTCCTATAAAAATCCCCTAAATATTCTTTCAATTATTTGTGGAGCTACTAATTAGAGCAATGTGTACTTTTCCAAGTTCTGCATTATCAGAAATTTGCACAAAAAATTAAGATCATTTGTTGGATTTGTTAATGAATCTACTCATACAGAAATCCACTAAATTAGATTTCAAAATAAATTAGAATAAAATATGCTAGTGAATTTTTGAAATTCTTATTTGTAAATTTTAATATAAATATCCAGTGAATATATATATATATATACTGTCTTTGAAAAATTCAAAAATATAACTCAGTTTAGATGAAAAGGTATTAATCAGATAGGAATTTTTATGGGATGGTCACTCAGACATTCTGTCAGCACTCAACTGTTTTTTGGAGGGAATTCTAGTGTTCTATAAACTCTTCATACGTGTGTAGCGTAACTTTGATGCATAAAAACATTTTTTTTTCCTACAAGGAATATATATACTGTTATGGCAACAGCTGTCAGGAACAATACTCTCTTAAGGATGATAAGTGACAGATTCAACTTGCTGTAATAGGTAGAAGGAGTAGTATACAATATAAATGTGGTAAATAAATTTCTGTTATTTATAAACTAGAAGAAAAAAGTAGTAGTATAACTCCAAACATGAGGCACAGAAATGTGAAAACTTGGCTTGTTAAGTGTACCAGACAACCTGGTAAGGGCAATAAAAAAGGTTATCAATCAGCAATATAGCTCTGAAAAGTATCTAAGGGAATAGGGTGATAGTTCTTATGGATACTTTGAGGATTTCTTATGGTCTCTATAAAAAAAAAACTACCTTTGTTTGAGATAGTTCTCTAGTTCAAAGTGCAGATTTCCTTATGAGAGAAGATTGGCAATTTTACTCACTCATGAGTTCCCTCTCTATGTACCAGTTGAGATTTAGCATAGCAGAACCAACTCTGCAGAACAGAGAAAAAATACTTAAGATATTTGGTTTTCAGCACAATCTAGTCAAGAAATAATCTCATTGTTATTCAAGGACAGTGGAGTCCTAACCAAAACAAAATTCAGAAGCTCTAGAACATAAAATAGATTTATGCTTCCTGATTTAGTGTAAGAATTATACTTCTCAAATGTATCATGCTATCTATATCAACTACACATTAGTACACATTTAGTATACCTTTCTGTCAATCAGAAACTAGGTCAACAAAGAGCTTGTAGCTGCTGCTACTGGATCTGGATGTGCATGGGAAGGACCAAGTTGTATACCAAAGCTTGCTTTTATTAACACCAGGCCTAGGGCAGAACAACAAAAGTCCCGAAGCACCCTGAGATCCCCCTGCCTCCACTGTTGGCTTCCAGTCAGGTTCAGTAACTGAAGAAGCCTCTCCTGGTACTCAAGTTCATGAGGTAGGTTCTCAGTGAGTCACCAAGTAGGGCAAGTGGTGTCCACCCTTCTCTTTTCTTCCCTGTTGGAACAGTTTTAGTCTAATGTCTATGCTGAGCTTAGGCAGAGCAAGTTAAGCACCTGTGGAGGGTGGGGTAGGTGAAGGAAGCTGGCTCAGGGCAGGGTTACTGGAACTCAGAAACTAGGGAACATTCACAGAGAAGCTACCCTTCATGAGGAGTCACAGCTGACCAAAGTGAACCTCTTGGTATGGTAAGAGAATTAAAACAGACCCCAGTTTCTCTTTTTTCAACCCTTTTTTCAACCCTTTTTTCAACCCTTCAACCTTTGCTGTTTCTCCTCTCTTTCTCCCCCTGCCACTCCCGCTTTTTTCTTTCCTTTTTTTTTCTACTTCCCACTCTTCTAAACCTGAAAAAAATGCAGAAATTGCTAAAACATATTTTAAGTAAATTGTTCTGACAGTTTCCAGGAGGGAATTGAACCAATGGTCCCTAGCAAAAGTTATGACAAACAGAAAAATCTCCAGTCTTTTTCACCGAAGGTTTTGCAGCAGTTAAAGCTCAAGGAATCTTCAACCCAGCCAGACCTCAAGTACATATAGCCCTCTCTTTACCTTACAAAACTTCAGTCCTACTTCACTTAGGGGAGTTACCTTGATGCTCCACAGGTGCTCCTGCATGTGCATAAAGCTTTAACATTTATTTGAGTCACACAAACAAATTTCTTCATATGGGAGAGGGAGTCATGACTAGTATGAGATATCAGAGTCTGAGAGGGGTGTGGAGTGCATTCACAAGGAGGAAAGCATGGTGAGAGGGTATAGAGGGCATCCATGCAAGAGCTACCGTTAGGAATCTAATTTGGAATTTAAAAATTCTGCAGGTACAAAGGTAAATGATTTTTATATATGTGGTTTTGAAGTATCTTTTAGCAACTGAACACTTGTACACAACAATGCAGAATAAAAACTGTACAATGCATAAATTAATGAGTAAATAAAGCTCTTGGGAGATGGTTTAAGGCAGTGATCGGCAAACTGTGGCTCGCAAGCCACATGCGGCTCTTTGGCCCCTTGAGTATGGCTCTTCCACAAAATACCACGGCCTGGGCAAGACTATTTTGAAGAAGTGGCATTAGAAGAAGCTTAAGTTTAAAAAATGTGGCTCTCAAAAGAATTTTCAATCGCTGTACTGTTGATATTAGGCTCTGTTGACTAATGAGTTTGCCGACCACTGGTTTAGGGTATAAATGTGGAGAGTGGTTTTCTAGCATAGTTGATATTCTCTAGTTTTAAGCAAGGGGAAATGCTTTTGTTTTATTAAACCATAGAATGTTTGGGATTTGCTTGCTTGATGAGAGGACTCTGCTGTTTTATGAATGTTAATCCTCGATATCCAAATCCCACTCTAAAGGAATACTGAGCACACAACAATAAGACAAAAGCCCAAGTAAAGTAAACATTCCAGAGGCCTTCAGAGGTTCACTAGAAGTCTGGGAATAATTATCCTACTGCTAAAAAATGAATAACATATGGAAAATGTAATCAGTTGGGGAGGACTTCCTCATCTTAAGCAGGATTTTATTTTTAAAAAATCTTGACAAAGTAATATTTGACTAATATATTCTAAAAAGGATAGCAGTAATGTAATTATTGTTGGTATCTAATACTATTGATTTTATCTCCATTTTATACTATTTAAAGTATTAATAATAAATGATGGTATTTAATATTTTACTTTCTACTTTTTATGGCTTACATAAAATTGTTCATATTGCATATTAAACAATTTAATCTTAGAAAGTGAGGAATTAGCATATATATATATATATATATATATATATATATATGACCTATCATTCAGTCAAGAAAATTAAAAAACTGGATTTATCCTACAGTCTCATTTTCTTCTCTGTCTCCCTCTTCTATTATTTTCTAAGCTCCTTGAAGATGGTGTCTAGACTATTACCACTTCCTCCTTTTGTCTTCCTCCCACGGCAGTCTGATTTCTCTCCATATCACCCCAGTGAAACCCTTTCACCCAGAAATGTTCTTCGGATCATTAAATCTGAGGTAAAAGTTTCAGTTCTTAATTTACTTGACTGCTAAGAGCATTTAGCATTATGGACCCCTTCTTGAAACTCTACATTCTCGATGTTCCCAACACGACATTCTTTTTAAATTCCTTCCTAATTATTTAGCCATATCTTCTCAGTCTCCTTTCTCCTGCATTCCCCCATTATCTTTTCCAGTTTTTTAATGTGATGATACAGTCATCATATCACCCAAATAAAAACACTGGGGCATCATCCTTGACCCCTCACTTTCCCTCTGTCTTCATACCCAACTTCTAAACACTCACTCTATCTCCATTCTTTGTCCTCACATCCTTTTCCACTGCTGCTATCTTAGTAAACACTCTCTCATTATCTCTTACCCAGGGATTGCAAGAGCTTCCTAATTAGTCACCCTCTCTCCAGCCAGACTCCTCACATTCCATTCTTTATAATTGCCTCCAGCCTGGATGGTATCATATCACTCCCCTTAAAAACCTTTCAGTGGCTTCCTAGTCATTGCAAGATAAAACCCAAGGTCTTTGGGATAGCTGACATACCAGATCTTCCTTTTTTTAAATCTGGGCACAGCCTGCCTCTGTAGTTGTCCCACATAACTTTTTGGTATGAAGCTGTCTCTGGTTCTGTGCCTGCATATTTGCACTGGCCTTTCCCCTGACAAGCAACCCCTATCCCCTGTAAGCTGGTTCTTCTGTACTCTTCAACTTACTCTACATAATGTTCTGCTTCCAGACCTTTTATATATACAGCTCAACCTCTTTTTTTGGGTTTTAACACACTATACCCAACTTCTTAATGGATATCAGTGGATACTTCATATGTCTAAAACTCATCTTTCTCCTCAAACTTATTTCTAGCTTCATAATTCAGGTTAATCACACCATCTCATTGTCCTCTGCAGAAAATTAGAATGCTCCCTTGCTTCCTCCTCTTCCTTACGTCTGTATATACAATTCCTGTTCAGCATGGTTGCTTCTACTATCAAAATATAATTTATACTGATACAATCACAAGAATCATAGCCATCAGTGTCCTAAGTCAGAGTTGCATCATTCTTGACCAGTTCAGTACTCTACGGTTTACTTCTCCCTCTATTTTCTCATGACTACCTCAAACCCTCATCCTATATCCTACAGGCAGAATTGCATTTCCATCCTAAAAACCTGAACACAGGACCCCTTTGCTTGCAGTTCTTCAACATCTCCCTCTGGTTAAAGTAGCATCTAAATTCACTTGTGTGGTCTGCAAGAGCTTCCGCATAAGGTCCTCGACTTACTTGTTTTATGACTTCTACCACCAAGATAGGAATGCTTATACCTTTGCTCTTTTGTTTCAGAAACCCAAATGTATTCATTGGGACTTAGAAAGCTAATTACTTTTAAGTCAGTAAGTGACTATCATTTTTGTTTCTGCAAGGTGAATGTGTAATAGCATGAAAAAAAAAAATTTTTTTAAGTAAGACTAGATACAAAAAGAAAGCCTAGTAAACAGTCAGAAGCCCTCCCTGTCACTATTCAAAACAAAACAAATACAAAATAAAACAAACAAATTAAACCTCATAAAAAATGGTTTGGTAATTAAAGAGCTATTAATGTATTTTTCCTTTTTTTCAAATTTTATTGGTCTAAATATATTTTATGGGAGGAAAAAAATCTGCCTCTTTGTAATGAGATTCAGCTTAAAAATAGCAACAATGGTCAGGTGTTTGTTTTTTCTCCCCTCAGTTGCTGGTAAATTGTTCTCCTTAAGTAAAAATTAAAAATAAAATTTAAATTAAAAAAAAATCTAAAATTGGACAGAGGTGTTTGGCTTTTAAATTTATTTTTACCTAACTCAAAAAGCAGTTGAATTTTAACAGTTAAATTCTTTATTCTTTTGTATTACCTCTGTCTTCACCAAACGTTATTTGAAGCAAATTGATATTTTTGAATCCTGGCAATACCTGAGGGAAAACATTACCAGCAATGAATTTTTTTCCAAAAATTCAGAGAATGCAATGAGAGCCTAATCTGGGCTCAGTTAATGATATGTTTGGAAAGCACTCTGTTGGTGTTATTTCCCCCTCATGTGTTTATTTTTAACACAAACATATACACTCTACCAAATGAGCCCAACCACAGTCATACCCTCTAAGTTTTCCTCCTGTACTTATTTATTTAACACCCAACAAATATATGCTGAAAACCTGCACGAGGCAGATGTGATTCCTACCTTCATGGAGCTTGCATTCCAATAAATAGTATTCCTGGACATGGTACATCCCATCCAATGTGCTAAATGTTCCAATTTACCATCTCCTTTAACCTCTAAGCTCACCATAATAAAGTAACTATTTAGGAGTATTGTTATTATTGTTGTTGTCATTTTATAAATGAGAAAACAAAAACTGAGAGAGATGAGTAATTAGCCACAGCTTTGATGGATGCAGCATTGTGTCTAGCCCAAAACTTAAGAACAGTGCTCTTTGAAAATAGTGTTGGCCACATACACAGTATTGATCAATCAGTTGTAAGTTTTTAGTGAGATTTCTGAAAAATCCATTTAAATAGGACAATTCATCTGGTAGAAGCCCTCTCTGTCCCTTAAGTTTCATTGCTCTTTCTATTTAGATTGAACAAAGGCCTGCTATCTTCGGCTAATGTTGACAATAAAGGGAAAAAAAACAAGCCCAGCAGATGTGGCTCCATAGCTGAGCATCAATCTATGAACCAGGAGGTCAGGGTTCAATTCCCAGTCAGGGCACATGCCCATGTTTTGGGCTCAATCCCCAGTAGAGGGTGTTCAGGAGGCAGCAAATTGATGATTCTTTCTCACCATTGATGTTTCTATTTCTCTCTCCCTCTCCCTTCCTCTCTGATATCAATAAAATAATTTCTCAAAAATTCAAAAAAAAAAAAGGTAAAAGAAGAAAGGAAATGCAAAGATCGCTACAAATATTCAAACTGCCTACCTCTGGGTATTATGCTATGTGAGAAAAAGAAAAAGAACCATGTTACTCAAGCTACTATTCTTAGATTTTTTTATTACATGCTCCCAAATCCAGCATCAACTGACACCCTCCATGATCCATTCTTCGCACAGAAGCTGGAGTGATCTTCTGAAATGTACATTCAGTTGTATCACTACCTTACTTCAGTGTGGCTTACATCTCCCCGAAAAAGAAATCCATACAAAGCCCAGTGTGAACTACTTTCTACCTGTCTCTCTGAGCTCATCTCTAAGCTGTCTCTTCTTTGCCTTTTATCACTGATCTGGCTTTCTTTTCCTAGGTCATGCCAAGTAAGCTCTTTAGGGACTTGGTTAGTATACTACCTTCTGCTTAGAACACTCCGGGGTTTTGGCTTCTCTGATTGGCTAGATCCTATCTGTCATTCAGATGTTAGGTTCTCAATGCCATTTTTAGAGAGGCCTCCCCTAACCATCTATTCTGAAGTAAGCCATCAGTAATTCAGTACTACATCTAACTTAATTCTTTTTGAAGAACTTATTACTATTTTATACGTTTTCTTGTTTATTTTTTCTATTGAGTTGTGTATTGTCTATTATCTCTCTACCAAAATAGAAACTCCCTTAGAGCTGCCATCTGATCTGTTTGGTTTCCACGAAACACCTCTGGTACCTAAATAGTGTCTGCCACAGAGTGAAGACATAGTAAATATTTGGCAAATGAATGAACAGTTTAATAAACCTCAACCTAAAAGATACAAAACATTCTCACCTAAATTTCATATATTGATGTCATTCAGGTTGTATAATTTAAACTGTTGAAATACTTCAGCCATTTTTAGTGTATAAAATACCATTCCATGTTTTTATTTATATACAATAATTACTAAAGGCTCAATGCACAAAACTCGTGCAAGAGTAGGCCTTCCTTCCCTCGGCTGCCAGCACTGGCTTCCCTCTGGCACCCAGGAGCCAGGCTTCCCTCACAGCCCTGGCGTCGTCCAGAAGGTCCTCTGGAAGGACGACTGGTCTAATTAGCCTATCATGCTTTTATTATTCTAGATGCTTTATTCTGGCAATGTTGCTGCCAGAATAATGGGGAGAAAATGATTTAGAGCTAGACCCATAGTAATAATATGTCAAGAAAGGAAAGACAAATAGTTAAAGGGCACATTAAAAATAAATTTTCAAGTGCCTTTTTCAGATTTATTATGGAAAGAACATTCATTTAACCTATATGTAGTCCCTAATCAATATTGTGACATTTAGGTAATTGATGAGAAAAAAAAAATAGTTTAAATTTTGCTTCTAAGAGTCTCCACACAGTAATCTTAGCTGAATGAGGATATATAGCAAGTTATAAGTTTACTTTGGGAAGCTTTCTGATAAGATAGACACATATCTTAATCTGAATTATTGAACACTTCATGTTGTTCCCTCATGATTCATTTTTAATATTATAAGGTGGTATAACATAGTAGTCAAGAGCCCAGACTATAGGTTCAAACTGCTTAGATTTAAATTCTGCCACTTACTGGTTTTATGGCCTTATATACATGACATAACCTCTCTCTGCCTCAATTTCTCCACCTGTAAAATGGATCAAATTATTATTTACTTCATAGGTGGTATGAAGATCAAATGAGGCAATATGGGTGTTATGGTCTCAATGTTTGTGTGCCCCCAAAATTTGTATGTTGAAGTTCTACCCCTCAATATGCTAGTATTTGGAAGTATTTGAAGGTGGGTCCTTTAAATGAAAATTAGATTAGGTCATAACATTAGTGACTTCTATGGAGAAGATATTCTACAAAATAAATGGCCCCAGCTCTTCAAAATACCACAGTTCAGAGAACAAATAAAAATTAAGACTAACCTATGTTGAAACTGGTTTTGACTCAGTGGATAGAACATCAGCCTGTGGACTGAAAAGTCCCAGGTTCAATTCTGGTCAAGGGCATGTTCCTTAGTTGCGGGCACATCCCCAGTAGGCGGTGTGCAGGAGGCAACTGATTGATGTTTCCCTCTCATCGATGTTTCTAACTCTCTATCCCTCTCCCTCCCTCTCTATAAAAAAAATCAATAAAATATATATATATTTTTTAAATTAAGACTGATCCAGATTAAGGAAAGCTAAAAAGACATGACTACTGAAATGCAGCAGGTAATCTAGGATTGGATCCTGGACCTGAAAAATTCTTACAGAAGACAAATAGGACAATGTGTGAAATCTGATCTGAATAGTCTGTAGGTTAGATTAGGAAAAAGAACTAAGGATGCTTCTTAGGCTGAGAGAGAGAGAGAGAGAGAGAGAGAGAGAGAGAGAGAGAGAGAGAGAGAGAGAGGCCCCTGCAATGCCAAGTCTTTAGCACTTGGTTGGTGTGCATTAAGGGAAGGAACACAGGCTCTGACAGAAAGAAAGGAACTTTAGTACTCTTTAGTTTGCAGATGACTTGATATGAAAGTCTTACATGTTTATCTTTATGTTAAATCATGCTTACTCAAACGCCTAATGAATTGTCTTCCTAGAACACAATTAGGGAGTGTCCCGTATAATCTCACGCACATCAGCGCCTGCACATGGATTATCTTCTTTGGATATCAGACAACACTAGATCCTGAAGACTAAAAGCAGTTGAAGATGGATATTGTTTCATTTCCCCAGTGCCCTAAAGGATATCCCTGACTATCCCAAGGGGTGAGACATTTTCAAATTTAACTTTATATTCCATTTTAGTAACTAACTCTGTAAGGTTTTGCTTCTCTCCAATATGTTTAACAAAATGCTGACAGCTGTTTTACTTATTACCACAAGGAAGGTGTCTATCTGTGTATTCTGCCCTATGGTTTTCTCTCTACACACCACTCTTTTATGATGATGTAACGTCTGCCATGATCTGGGCATAGAACCTATGATGTAGCAAGAGGTGGGGGTGGGGGGGTTACACTGGATCTTTCTTGTGTGGATAGAAGTCAGAGTTGAAAATACAATACATTCTGACCATTGTGGCACTACTATCTTTTGTCACACCATCATGTGACAAAACATGCACAGCAGGTTTTCAGATATATTACTATCCAGCACTTCAAGCTCCTCATCATGTAGCTTCTTCTTATTCATAATAGTGTATGTGTTTAATTCCAGAATGAATACAAGGTTTAAAATTTATTATGGGTAAAATATACTTTTCTTTAGAGGTCTATTGTATTTTACACTAGAGGTCCAGTGCAAGGGATTCGTTCACTGGTGGGGGTGTGGCCTGTGGGGACTGGCCTGCTGTGGGAGCACCACTCATTCTGGTCAGCTGAACAGCGCTTCCACTGTGGGAGTGCACTGACCACCAGGGGGCAGCTCCTGCATTGAGCGTCTGCCCCTTGGTGAACAGCGCACGTCATAGCAACCCATCAAGTGGTCATTCTGCTGTTTGGTTGCTGGGCTTTTATAATATAGGATTGCAACTGGCTGGATCTTTGATGGAGATCAAATGTAATTTTAAAGTAAAAGCAAAATACTGCTCTATTGGGTTCCCTGGCTAAATTCAATTATGTGAAATTGAGAATTTATGGTAATCTTAGCATGATAAACCAAAGTTTTAATTTATTCTACAATAAGCAAGTAAAGCTTTAAAAGAATAGCTCAAATGATTATTCTTAAAATTTAAGTAAAATCTTTTAGAGTCTCACTTGAGCAAATTCAAAGAATGAAATCATCACTTACAATATTTACATGTGTGTATATTCCTCTTTGACTTTACTGTATACCTCTGTGAACAGACATTTTTCACTCATCTTTTTAACCCTATACCAGCATAATGCTTGTATGTCTTGGTTATTAGAAACAAAATATTGAGTGAGGGGAATCTGAACTATTTATTTATTCATTTATTTATTTATTTATTTATTTATTTATTTAGGTCCTGAAAAGAAAGCAAAAGATCCTGCATCTTTGTTTGGGGACTTGATATTGTGAAATGAACCAATATGTAAAATCATTCATTCCATAGTATGAAAGTATCTACCCTCTTACTGAACCCAGCACTGGGCAAATATTGACTCCACTGGTGGAAATGAGTCTCAGATAGGTCCAACTTTACCATTCAATTCTAATTCTGTGGTTTTAGTGGTAAGAAAAATGCAGTAAATAATAGGCTGTCCACAGCAGAAGAGTATATGTTGGTAGAAAAGTAGTTAATGGTACTCTAATTAGTGAAAGGCAACATGACTTTGTCACAGACTAATTGGTATATTAACTAGTTGTTGAGATTGCTTAACCTCGATCAGTGAGTTTTGGGACAACAAATTCATACAACACAATGATGCTGATAATAATAGTAAGTTTTTATATATTCAGACAGATCCTCTACTATTCCTTTGTTCTTTAAGGATCATAATGTACCTTTTATATATATATATATATATATATATATATATATATATATATATATATATATATATATATATATATAATGTGATTGAACAAAGGTTGCCAAACATTTAATGTTTTATTTTGTTTGTTTCTTATTTTATTGGAAGGAAGTTATTTTTTCTCTTTCATTGATTCTACAGTTCACTACAATTAGAATTACCATAATGGTAGGATGTGGTTGGTAGAAATATATGACTTCATCCTTTATAATCACCAGCATGGCATTTCCCGAAACAAAACACTACAGGATATCAGTGGAGCTGAGTCTCTCTTCTCGGATCTAATGTTTTCGTGCATGCCGGTCTGAAAATGCTGACTGCATCATAACCCTGACTGCTGCCAACATGAAACTTGTAAAACAACAGAGAGCAGCAATAAAGCTGCTATTTGTGTTTTATGGAACTGTGTAAAAGTGAGAAAATAGTATCCAAGGGCTGGGTTTTTAAATATTCCCAATGATCTCAATCTTTGTTCACAACTCATTATGGCAACACTTTCAAAGCTTTAAAAAACAAAACTATGGTGTATTTCATATATATATATATATATATATATATATATATATATATATTAATAAATATATATAAATAAATGTATGTATGTATATAATGGTTGAAATCTGTCAATGCACATCTAACATTTTAATAATGTCTTAATGGACAGTATTCTTTTGATGATTCTCAAATTGCACTATTACAGTAGTTTATATTGTACCAGAGGCCAGATGTACAAAATTTGTGCAAGGGGCTAGGCCCTTGCGGTCCAAGCTGCCTCGCGGCCCATGGCCCCCTGGCCCCACAGTCCCACCCACTGGACATTCTGGAAGGTCATTCCGGAAGGTCATTCTGCCATCCGGTCTAATTAGCATATTAGCTCTTTATTATATAGGATTGTGATATATAGGAATATTGTGATATATTAGAAACCTTAAACAATTAACTAAGTAAGTGTTCTCAACTCAAAATTGCCCAAATCTTGAAGTAATGTTCTCCAGTACAAAGGTCTAGCTTTATTAATACATATCATAAGTGCACACATAATACCATATGATACAACTTAGCACCTGATTAGCTTCATTGTTTACTTGCTTATTTTTTGAAACTTTGTCAGCATCTCCAAAACTATATGAGGAACTTTTATTAATAGTTATGCTAATATTAACTCCTGCTGTGCTCAAATAAAGATGGGTACGCATTCTTTACTCCTCCTCCAATTGAGGTGAGTCTAATTCTTTTCCTCTTCAATCCAAGATAGTAACTTGTTTGACCAATAGAATGTGTTACATCCTGAGATTCTGAGGCTCGATTAATAAGAAGCCTTGCCACTTTCTCAGGCTTCTTGAAACTCTCTCTGGGAGCCCTGAGCTGCTGTGTAAGAAATCTGGCTACTCTGAGACAACCACATTGGAGAGACCACCAGTACGCACTCCAGTTGATAGTCCTTGCTGATTCTAATCTTTTATTATAGTTATTTACCCCAATAACCTTCTTTGATGCTCAAGACAAGCCTAAATACCAACTTAATACCAACAAGTATCCTTAGTTGATATTATATGGAAGAGACAAATCACCCAGCTGAGCTATGTCCAAACTCCTGATCCCAAATTATGAACTATAATAAAATGGTGGTTGTATTAAATTGCTAAAGGAAAACTTTCTCTATTCATAACACTTCCTCCTGATATCAATTTATTCTCTCACACCAATCAATTCAGTAGCTTTTCAGACACCAATAGGATGCCCTAAATTTCTATTTAATTCTGTTACTAGCTATTTGGAACTAACATAAACCCAAAGGTCAAGGGCACAAGGATGCTTACACACACACACACACACACACACACACACACACACACACTTTAGATATCAATCTCATGTCCTGATCTCCCAAACTTTTGAATGACTGGCTAAATTGCCTCCTCAGGTTCAATAATTTGCTATAACATCTGACAAAACTCAGGAAAACACTTTACTTATGTCTACCAGTTTATTATAAGGAATATTATAAAAGATATAAATTAATACCAAGAGTGGTCTAGTGGGATCCTGAGTGCAGGAGTTTCTGTACTCCTGGAGCTGTGGTGCTCCACCCTGCCAGCATATGGATGCATTCACCAACTCAGAAGCATTCTGAGCCCCTCAGGAATTTTTAGGAAGGTTACATCATGTAGCCATGATCCATTACCAACTCAAACTCTAGCTCCTCTCCCCTCCTCAGAGATAATCAACCTCCATCCAGGAGCTCACCAAGAGTCACCTCATTAAAACAAAAGATGCTGCTTATCACCCAGCGAATTCCAACAGATTTGTCAATGACTGTCTTGCAAAATAGATTGGATTTTATGAAACTCTATTTTAATCATTTTGTGTTTTGACATATAATTATTATTATTATTATTATTTATCAATGTATTTCATATCCAGTCTCTCTTCCTATATAGGTAGCCCACTCTTTCTTTGGAAATCCACCACTGAGAGAAGTCTTGATTGAAAGGTAGTTGTCTCCTCTGTGAAGGGCTATGTCCTTTCTTTTCTTGCCCTTAGAGGCCAGGGAATAGCACTTAAACGTTCAGTTCCTACGGGACTTTGAATTTTGAGCTGGTAATACAAGGATTTAAGACAGAATAAATTCCCTAAAACATAAATATAATTATATCATTCCTCTCCTAAATTTGACCCAATCCTTTAAAATTAGATGGAGTTTAAACTTGTAGCCTGGTAGAAAGTGCCTTTATTTTATTTTAAATGTCTTTATTGATTAAGGTATCACATATTTGTCCTCCACCCCTCCCCATGCATGCCTTCACCCTCCTGTTGTCCTTGACCACTGGTTAGGCTCATATGTATGCACACAAGTCCTTTGGTTGATACCTCCCCTTTAGGAAAGTGCCTTTATTGTCTGTCCCTTGTTTATCTCTCCAACCTCATCCCTCAGTGTTTCTCAGAATCCTCATAGATTAATCATTCCAGATTACCATTATGGGTAAAATTGTGTCCCTAAACAAAAGATATGGTTAAGTCCTAACCCCAACATCCCAGAATGTGACCTTATATCAAAACAGGGCCTTTAATAGAGATAATCAGTAAAATGAGGTGATTAGGGTTGGCCCTAATCCAATATAATTCCTGTCTTCATAAAACGGGAAATTTTGACCAGGGAGACATGCAGAGGAAAGATTATGCCAAGTGAGGGAGAATGCTCAGTGAAGATGGAGAGTTATGATCACTCTGCAAGTTGAGCAATGCCTGAGGCTGGCAGAAGCCAGCAGAGAG